GTAGGGAGACCATTGTCTCCTTTAATTTGAAGCAGCAGCAATCAATACACTTGTGGAGAATGATTTCTTATCCAATCAATCACACCCTTTTTTCTTTTTTTGGGAGTTTCCTACTTTTTTCCTACTTTTTTTGTGACACTGACATAACACGGTGATGGGAAAAAAGGCAATGCCATCCAAACCAAAATTTTTATTAAAAAATATTATTATCTAAAGAGCTGTTAACTCCAAATCACTTCCGGGAGAATTATATTTAAATTTTTTAAGATTTATCATTTAATCATTCAGATCTCTAGACATTTAAAATATTACACACAGACCTCTGAAGATTTGTATGCGTGTAACAACTTAGGTACATACAAACATTCTCTTAGATTTTTGTCGTCAATGTCTGTTTGTAAATTATATTCAGACCTCCTGAAGTTTATAATCGTGTAATACATAAGTCTCTCAAGTTTAAAATGTTATATTTAGACCACAAATATTCCAATCAAAGATAGAATATTAAATATTTTAAATTTTACAATTAAAAATCATGTTTTATTATGACATTTTATTGAAATAAAATTAAAAATAAAAATACAATTATACTATCTACTAGGATTTAATTTGGTCGTTTAAAGAACCAAATTAAACTACCAAATTATCTCAATTAAAGCTAGAATATGTTTTGATTTTATTTCAATAAATTATATAATAGAACATTAATTTTGGTTTTAAAATTTAAAATATTTGATATTCTATTTTGATTGGAGTATTTTTTGTCTAACTATAATATTTTAAAATTGAAAGGTCNTTTAAAATTTAAAATATTTGATATTATATCTTCATTGGAGTATTTTTTGTCTAACTATAATATTTTAAAATTGAAAGGTCTAAGTATTATATGTTTACAAACTTTAGAAGATAAGAGTGTAATTTATTAACAAATATATTAACAGACAACAGGTGTTTAAGTGTTACGCTCGTATAAACTTCAAGGGATCTGTGTGTAATATTTCAAATATCATGAAGTGTAAGTGATTAAATCACAAACTTCAAGAGATCTAGTTATAATTCTCTAAAGTATTTTTGATTGAATATGGAGATATCAATTCATTTGATTAAAATTTTGGTAAGCATAATATTATTAATGTGAGAAAAAAAATTGACAAGGATGCCTTTGTCCACGAATCTAGAAGGCCAAGTCAATGAAGTCCTCCTCTATCGAGTTTTAAAGTAGAGGTAGTTAATCAATTGCTTTCATTTCCCTCTCTTTCTTCTTCCACCCGTTTCTAATGAATATTATTAAAAAACGACTAAGCTCAGTAGACAATTGACCTGTGTTGTCCACCACCACCGCATTACCTATTGTACAAATAAAAAAAAGACTGAGGAGGAGACATTGATCAGGTCTCTCTCCCACGGCAGTACAAGTAAGAGAGAAAAAGTACCCTTTGATTCTTTGAACTATAGCCTCCAGCTCTTATTGCCCCCTCAGTTATTATGTTTTTCATATTTTACTTTCAATTGTAGTTATTAATTTTACATTTCACTGTAAATTTGAAGGAAAGATGTCTGAATTTTTCCTCTTTGAATTAAATCAGTTTTTTACTATGTCCAAATACTTGGATGTTATCCATCTAAAAAGAAGACAAACTTTTGCATATGGGCTAATATAAAATTAATTCAAGTAGTTAAGGAATAATGTGAGAGATTCAATAGTTAAAGAGTGAGGTGAGATCAAGGTTAGACTCGAGAAAATCAAAATGTAATTTATTTAAGTAATAAAAAAAAGGCAGAAGATGCCTCCACCAAATTGCTACTCCGCTGCTGTGTGAAAGCTTGAAACTATGTTATCTCATATGCTCTTGCTTGGAAATTTCTTTGCCTCCATGTTTTTGTTTCCATTCAAGAATTTCACATTATATTCTGTTCAGAAAAAAAAAAAAGAATTTCATATTATATAGTTAAATTAAAAAAAAGTTGAGATATTTGGCCAACTGATTTTGAAAACATATTGGTGGCAGTGTGTATTACACTTTTCCTTGAATTCTCTTCTTAATAAATTATCTGTCATATCTATATAATAAAGTAGCTTACAATTCAAATCTCAAAACATAAACAAAATGACTTTTGCTATTCGTAGTTGANACTTACAATTCAAATCTCAAAACATAAACAAAATGACTTTTGTTATTCGTAGTTGACATCATTTTAAATTTTAATTTAAAGTTAATCTAACGGCTAATATTAACACCCTAAATTTAATAAGAAAAATAAATCCTTAAGAGTGTGTTCGGAGTGATTTTTTAAANACTAAATTTAATTAGAAAAATAAATCCTTAAGAGTGTGTTCGGAGTGATTTTTTAAAAGTACTTTTATAAATTATTTCTCATAANTATTTTTTAAAAGTACTTTTATAAATTATTTCTCATAAATATACTTTAAAAAAAAAAATAGTGTTTGAAATCGCCCCACCACCCCCACCGTCGCCACCACCACCANTACCACCACCACCCCCACCGTCGCCACCACCACCAATGCCACTATCGTCACCGTTGCGCCCGCCACCACTGCCACCGTCAGCCCAATTATTACGATCCACTATAACCATCACTGTTTTCTTCCACCATCACTGCAGCTCACCACCTCTCACTCCCACTACAAATTGATACTTAAATTTTTTTATTTTTTTTCTATGTTTGTGATTTGATTTTGGATATAAATCACAAATATGTTTATTGTTTATCATTTTTTATTACTATATATCTTCATACACATGTAATAACTAGTATTTAAATATAATACATTATATACAAGTAGATTTCTCACTCATCTATAGGGGGTCATAATTTTATTATATACAATATATTTAAATATAATACATTATATCCAAGTGAATTTCTCACTNAGATTTCTCACTCATCTATAGGGGGTCATAATTTTATTATATACAATATATTTAAATATAATACATTATATCCAAGTGAATTTCTCACTCATGTATTAGAGTAATATTATTGTGACCTAAAAATCTGANAAAAAAAAAAGTTCACAAAAAAAGAGGGATGGGAAAAAACCATACGAGATTGAGATTTGAATAGAAATAGGATTGAGAAAAAATATAGTTTGTGCCATAGTAAGTAAAAATAGTATAATAGTAGCAACAACTGAAATGATTGTTCATAGACTGTTGAAATAATTGTGCCTTTTTTATTTGGGAGTGGGAGGGGGAGGGGGGAAGGGGGTTGAACCCTTGAACTCAAAAAGGTAAAGCCTTCACAAAGTAAGGAGTACAATTGGACCAAAGACTCATTGGTAAATAATTGTGCCTTAAGTTTGCTATTTAGCATATAATGCTTAATTCACATTGTTGAAAACTTCAGTGTAGTAGAAGTTGCCATTAAGGGTGTGCTTATTAATTTAAATTCAACACTTAAAATGAATTCATTCAGCACTTATTAATTAAACTTGTTTGATAACTAAAATTTTAATATCTTATTATATTAACTTCTCCTTAAAAATAGGTTACAACATTAAATAGGAGACTTTTTACTTAATTTTAAAAGTTGAAAGTGCTCAGTAAAATTATTTTTAATAATATTTTACAAATGACAATTCTACCCCTAAATATTTCACAATCCTATTAAAACTCTAATAAGTCTTTTCTCTAAAATCCCTAATCTATCTATCCTCGTTTGTTGTTTTGTGCGTTTTTATCACTATTATGGAACCCAAAAAAATTGGTAAAAATAATATCATAATAATGATAAAAATACTCGCAAAAGTGATAATTTTTTTTGTACCAAAAGCATGTGTTACCAGAACAATGATAAAAACACCCACCAAAGTAATAAATTACTGACAAAAGTAATAAAAAATTTTATTGAAAAATGACCTGCAAAAATTATAAAAACACCTATTAAAAAAAATAAAATTTGAAGGTACGATACCATTTTACCACAATAGTGATAAAAATTATAACAACAGTGAAAAATTTACAATAATAGTTAGTAAAATTATAACATAAATGGACAATTCAGTATAGTAATAGGCAAAATTACTATAATAGTGGCAAACTTTTACCACCATTTGAGGTACCAGAACTATATTTTGTGGGTTTGTGATCGATCAATAATATTGATTGATTGATCAAGTAGTTGCACATTGAGTCATAATATTAATCAGAACAGTCGTAAATTAATCTCAAAACTAGTAAATTAATTATTGTTGTAAATTGACCTCTCAAAGGTGGTGAATCTACCCTTATTTGTGGGAAATTACCCACA